ATCCCCTGCCCCCATTCCAACCCCTTCCCCAAAATCCCCACCCCAACTCCACCCGCTCCCTGCGCCCAGGGGGTACAAAAGGGGTGTGGCAGGGGCTCAGGGCAGGGAGTTGGGGTGAGGGGTGTGGCAGGGGGTCAGGGTGCAGGAGGGGTGTGGCAGGGAGCTCAGGGCAGTGGAGGGGAGCTGTGCGGGGTGCAGCAGGGGGTTCAGGGCAGGGGGTCAGAGTGCAAGGTGCGGCATGGGGCTCAGGGCAGGCAGGCAGGGAGCCTTCCCTGCCCCCGCTGCACGTCGGGCCCGAGCCGCTCTAGGTAAACGCGCGGGGGGGGGGGGAGTGAGGAGCTCGCAGGCCGCAGAAAATAACCCCGTGGGCCACTTGTTTGAGACCCCTGGTGTAGGTAATCCACCTCCCCAAGCTGTCAGCTGAAGAATTCTTCCATCCACCTAGTGCTGTTTATACCGGGGGTTCGGTATTTTTCACACCCCTAACAGATGAAGTTATACCAAAGTAAATTCCTAGTGTAGACCAGGACTGAGGCAAGAAAGATTAAGGTCAAAAGTTTCCACTACTTTGGATGCCCAATCTGACATGCCTAGGACCTGATTTTTCAGAGTAGTTTATACAGTACTTTATACATTCAATGAAACGCTCTGATTGACTTCAGATGCAGCTCTGTGTGCTCAGCACTTCTGCAAATCAGGCCCTGGTGTATGGTGTCAGCCACCCAGAAAATGATGAACATGCAATTAATAACCACATGTGAAAAGTCTGGTTTAAGTGACTTGCCCAGCATCACATAAGAATTGTGAAGAGGCAGGAAACAATTCCAGCTCTCCAGAGCATCTTTCTCTTTCTGCAGTCTCCTGCCTCATTCACTACAAACCTTCCAACTTCTGCCACAAATGAAACAGGGTTCCTATAGGCAACAGCCTTCTTCACTACACAACCCTGACACCCCATTCCCCCAAATAGCTACATCCTGTGCACTGAATGAAGCAGAAAGTCTGGCAACCTTAACAGTAGGTGGTGCTACCAGCCCTGCCTAGAACTATACATAGCACTTTGGATTTTTAGATGCTTAGTGATGCTGAGTATTAGTAATAGTTTTGTCCTCAGGAGCAGATCAAATGTGGGAATAGATCTTTTCATTATTTGCAATAACTTTAAGTGAAATAATCCTACAAAAAAAGAGAAAGGAAAACGTATTCTTTTATTTTGTTTACCTAAGTAATAACAAAGGAAGCAGTTCGGAGGAGTACCATAGTTAGTAGGAGTTTTGCCTAAATAAGGACTGTAGGACTGAGCCCTTAAAAAACTGAACAAGCCACAAAACAAGTGGGATGTAACATTAAACCCCACAGGAAAAAGACGAGTCATTATTAATTAGTGACTGAGTAATGACTTTGTCTCATACCTATAAATAGTATTTTTGCCGCCATATAATCTGAGAAGTACAAGAGTAAACAGTTTTCCACTCGACTGACTAAAAGTTACTCATGGTTTGTCAGAGATCAACAGAGATTGTTCCATGGCAGTCACATTGGCTATTCTCAGGGTATGTCCAGACTACCCGCCGTATCGGGGGGTAGCGATCAATTTATCAGGGATCGATATATCGCATCTCGTTAAGACATGATATATCAATCCCTGAACATGCTCCCCGTCGACTCCGGAACCCTACCAGAGCGAGCGGCGGTAGCAGAGTCGACGGGGGAGCCGTGGCCGTCGATCCCGCGCCATGAGGACCCAAGGTAAATCGATCTAAGATACTTCGACTTCAACTATGCTATTCACGTAGCTGAAGTTGCGAATCTTAGATCAATCCCGCCCCCAGTGTAGACCAGCCCTCAGTCACTAACATCTTTAAACTGCAAGAATGATGGCAATGGTAGGCAGCTATTCGGCTCTTCTTAATGAGATCAAACTCCAGTTGACTTCAAAAGAAGGTGTATCTAAATAAGGAAAGCTGGATCAGACCCAATCTCAGTAAACTAAAATTATACCTTAGTAATGAAGGGTATTACTGCTGATGTGCATGTAAAGATTACTCACCTAGGTGAGGCTTGCAGAATAAAGCCTAAAATATGTGCCTAAAATATGTAGTCATCTCAATGTACCAGATCAAAGGCCTGACCCTGCAACTATTACTACTGGCATGAGCAGTCCTTACTTATGCATGTAGCCACATTGAAAGCCTATGGGACAACAAAGATAGGGAGCTAAAATACTGAGCCCCACAAGAGTGACACTTCTGTATTTATAAGTGGTAAATTCTCACTTTGGAACTGATTCTGCAAAACCTCATACAGGCAAGTAGTCCTGATGGGAGTAGTTCCACTAGTGTGCATGGAGTACAGATTATTTGCACAAGGAGGGGGTTGTGTTGAGGAAAGAGCTAGATCATGCATCAAGTGCTTTCAGAACATGGCGCACAGAGGATAGTTTTGTGGCTAAGGTTTTGGACAATGACTTAAGAGGTCTAGGTTCAATTCCCAGATAGTCCCAGAAGACATCTGTGGCATCAGTTAATTACTCAATCTGCCTCACATCCTGCTACCCCCAGTCAAGAGGAAAGGAGTCTTTTATTCAAAACCTCAGTTGGTTTCCAGTAAGAATTGAAATGAGGAGCTCTAAGCACACCTTCCCCTAAATATAAAACTGAATGATTCCTGAGTTTCCATGTAAAACAAAGGCCTCCTTATTTTAGTTAATACTTTCACAATATAGACAAAATTACCTGTCATGGGTTTAACATGATATCCTGCCACCACAATTAACAAGAGCAAACGCACACAGGAAAAATGTAAAGTTTAATTTTCTGTGGCACAATCACTAGATTATTTTGGTATATTTTCTATTTATAATTTCCAATACAAACGTCCCTGTTAGCCTCCTGTCTCCAGAAGCAACAACTTCTTTTATTTGGCGAGTTTCTTCCTTTCAGAGAAACAACTTTGCGATAATCAGTATGCTTAGGGGTTTGTGGGGAAATGCAAGAGTAAATGGAGTAAGTGGAGGAGCCACCAAAAGCTGGTGTTTGTAAACAGTCTGAGGGAAATGGCTAAATATTAAGGTTAAATTTGAAAGTTGTAGCACCAGTGCAGTCGTCAAACCAGCTGTTGGTTTATAAAACTGAAAAGTCATATAGCAAATTATTTCCCACATCACCTATCCAGGCACCCCCCAAAAAATAGTCACCCAAACAAGGAACTGGGAGCCTGTAGCATAGAGGGGATGAAGAGGAACCTGCATCTGGAAAGGTCAGCCTTGTTTGTTGCAGACTGAAGCATTTTCGAATTTATTCTCTCCTCAATAGGACAAAGTCCTCTGCAGCTGCTTGGCTGTAATTGCTAGCTCTGCATTAAAGAAGGAGCTTCTGTCATGCCTAGCCAGTGAACTGATATTAACATGTACCCCCCCAATCCCCCGAGACTGGTTATAGTCCCTGAAAGCCTCAGAGGATCAGAATCTGATTTTAAGGAATTAAATGATTGGTAACGTTTTTGTTATTGCGGCAGACAGAACCTAAAGTAATTGCATCCTAGACTGGCTCCAGTATAAGATTTCAGAAAGTCGAATTACATCCAAAACTCATTCAAGGATGCAGTGCTTAATTTGTGCCAGGGGTTGCCAGGGCTTGGCAGTTCATAGCCCCAGCATCTCTGGGCTTGCCACATCAGTTATGAAAGTAAAAAAAAATTGCTTAAACCCCTGCACCTAATTGGTTGAGCCCAGGCATCTCTTTCAGCACAAATTAAGCACTGCAAGGATTATGTCATAGAAAACAATTCAGTATTCTGAAAAAGAGTTACTTGACATTCAAACATGATTTGTTCTGGCACTCACTACAGAAAGAGGGCATTTTGGAGGGAAATCGACTGCTACTCCCTCTTACCTTCCATTTGCTACTAAGAGGAGAGGAAGAAAGCCAGATGATGGGGGTCATAGGTGCTGGAACTAGTGATGCTGGGAGTGCTGCTGCACCCTCTGCCTTGAAGGGGTTTCTATCATATACGGGGTTTACAGTTTGGTTAAATGGCTCCCAGCACCCCCACTATACAAATTGTTCCAGCACCCCTAGGAGATGGGTGGAAGAGGGAGAAAAGAAAGACGTCAGGCTATATATTCCCAAAGATCATATGATTAGTCAATAGATGGGAGTGTTTTTCAAGGCGCCGCAGACCTACATTGTACCTAGTTTCAAACCAGACTCCTTGGAACATCCCCTGAGTAGCAGGAGCCTGGTCCTTCAATGAGTCCTAACTGCAGCATTCCCCTTTCCCGTTGCAGCTGGAGAAGGTGAAATTTACACTTTGATGAGCCGGCTCTGGAGATGCACAGACATGGACAAAAAAAAACAAAAAAAAACCAGCAGACTCTCCACATGTTTTGCATAATAAAGTGCACGGGAAGGGTCTCCTTGCAGCTTTGATTTCAAAATTGGGGGAGTTGCTCAATGCTTACAGATCTCCCCTCCCAACACCTGGAAACACATTCGGGTGTCTCAGGCACACCTTGAAAAATCAAAAGCCAGGGGAGCATGAAGGTCTTTTTCTTTGTTAGGGACCCAAAGGCATCACTGCAGCGTGGCATGATCCCGGGGTACAGCCAAGCCCGCAACAGCCAGAGAAGTGAGAGCGCCCGTTGCGCTTTCCCGGGAGAGACCTCGGTGTTGGTTTATTTGCATAAAAAAAAGAAAGAAACATGGTTCGTCCTTTAGCCCACCCCCACTGCCCACACAGGATCCCAAAGGTACCAAACCACTACCCCCAAAAACACTTTTCACAGCAGAAGGGTCTGGCCAGCCCCCCACTAGTTAAAGCTGCTACGAGTTTGTATCTGAACTCTTGGGGTGGGGGGTAAAGATCAATATTTGAGTGTGACAAATAAAGTTCGGCTTTATTTATTTGGGGGGGGGCTGTACACGGGGCCCACTGCGCTCTGCTCCTGTCCCTGGCTGCCCTTGGGCTGCCCCTGGGCATGGGGCAGGGAGGCTGGGTACCTGAAGCCGGTGACTGCGGTCTGGTTGCTCCTCCACGCCTTGCCCTGCTGCAGCAGCACCCCCTGCACGACCTCCTTCTCGTCGGGCAGCCGGTACACGGGGAAGATGTAGAGCCAGCAAAGGACAAAGACACACAAGGCACTGGCCCCCCCGACGGGCAACCGGGTCCGGGGACATTTACACACCGGCCCCGCCGCCGCCATCCTCCTCCTCCTCCCCCGGCAGATCTTCCTCCGGGCCGGGCTGCAGTCACTCATCAGTCCCGGCGAGCGGCCGCCGGAGCGCCAAAGCCCCCCATGCAACAGACACAGAGCCGCCGCCGCGATGGTGAGCCGGCTCCCCCGGGGGCTCCCCGTCGGCCGCCCCGCTGCTCTAGGGACGGCGGCCATCCTGAAGGCCAGCGGCGGATGCCATCGCAGCCCCGTTAGCCGGGGGAGCGGCTGCCCGCTGCTCAAGCCAGGGATCAGCAGGGCTCAGCCGCTTCCTCTCTCGGTAGCGGCGGCTGCTGCTGCTGTCTCGCTTCCTCCCAGTCATTTGGTCCTCTGCTCCCCCTCCCTCCCCTTCCCCCCGCCAGGCACACAGCACCCGGGGAGCTGTCACTGCAGCAAGTCCTTGTACATTTCCATTCTGCCGCCCGTTCCCGGGCTTCCCTCCTGCTCCCCAAATCCGATGGGAACAAAGAGCTGCCCCTCCCCCCTCGCTCCAGGAGCTGTCAGCAACCTTCTCCTGCACCCCTGAAATCGGGGAGATGGGGGCAGGGACGCGACACGACAGCGGGGTGACCGGAAATCAGGGCTTTTTTTTCCCCCGCAGGAAAAGAAAATATCTCCTTTGACCCGTTCAGATCAGCGCCTCCTGGATTGGAGCTGGCAGCAGGGTTTAGCTTTTTTGCTCGCCTTCAGTAAAAGGGGGGGGGGAATCAGGCTGAGCCAGGCAATGTAAGCCAGGAGACTTACATGATCCCCCTACCCCCAAAGTCCCGCCCACCCCGCCACCCCCCCCAGCTGCTGTGACACTGCATCAGTCACACGCACAAAGCAGCCTCCTTCCTCCACTCGCCTCGCCGAGGATTCCCAGCGCGCCGAGCCGAGAGCCCAGCAGAGATCGCGCCACCCTTCCCCCGCCCCCAAACATCAGTCCACCCTGCAGCCTCCCTTCACCCCACACCGCTGTTCCCCGGGGGCTTCCACCCTCAATCGCCTCGGCAGGATCCCCCCCCCCGGCCCCACACGCATTCACAGTACATAACTCCCCACCCCCACTTCCCAGCACACCCAAACAAACCCAGGATCTCACTAGTCTCAGGCGATTCCCATCCAAGCCTACCCCGCCCCCATCCTAAATAACCCGGCGGGATGCCACACGCCGCCTTATCCCCATGCCCAGGACAGGATTCCCGCCCCATCCCCAATCAACCACCCTGCTAAACCCCGGATCTCACTGGCACATAGGGACATGGCTCCGGTACATGCCCCCGCCGCCCCGTTCCCCGCGCTCCCGGCAGTAAATGACGAAACACAGGCAGGATCCTGGATCCAGGCTCGCTCTCTCACACACACACCCTCCTCCTCTTATATACTGCACCCAGATGTGCAAGCAGCTGGGATCCAGCCGGACACAGACATCAGCCTCATGGCGCAGAGCCTTTGCTGCGACCATTTCTACTCATTGTTTATATTGGGAAATCACTTTCCCCCATTAAACCCTCCATCCCGAAACCCTTTTAAAATGTCAGCCGGGGCCATTCTTATACAGGGATCTCGCCCGAAAACCGTCCGTCCTTCCAGCCACCAGAGTACTGCAAAGTGGGGAAAGCCCAGCATCACACCTCCCATCCCGCTCGCTCTTCAGCACGCCCTTGCGGCGGACTTGTCTAGCTGCATACAGCTAAATTGTCAGCATATTGTGCTTCGGGGCTAGAGCTAGCTGTGAAGAATGACAAAATATAGGAAAAACTGAGAGACTGGAGTTCATGTGGATTAGCCTGGTCATTCCTCCCCCCCCCCACGTTTTCGCCCCTTTCCAATGCTAGCCTGTTTGATACCTTGGGGGGGGGACGACACACTCCTTTTTTAACCCCACAGATCACTCAGTTTGAAGACAAGCTACACTAACTAGCCAAAGCATACCAGTTGTGCATGGACTTTCACCAGCAACCTGAGACTCTGTTAGTTATTTACCTCCCTCAAACTGCCAGCCACTAGGAATTAGACTGAATCCACCATCTCCATCTCACATATGCCACTGTAGGGGAACTAGATGATAGTGTTTTGTGGTCAGCGATGAGGTCTGCTGGATTCAAACCACTATCCTAGAAACAGGGGCCGGATTGCCAGTCTCTTGTGCTGTGCCACTGACATCGGAGCAACTATACAGATATTTTTGGATGATACAACACATTAAGCTAGTGGCATTGGGAAACCTGAATTAAGG